AGCAGGGGAAGGTGAAGAGGATGAGGCTGGCACCACCCTAAGGAATTCACGGGGTTTGCTTGCTGGCTTGAGAAGTTAGATTCAGTCTGGCGAGATTCTGTCTTTGAGGTGGAAGCTAATAAACGCAACCGAACTGTATCTGTACTGTCTCGAGGAGCTCTTTGGGCTAAACCTGACATCTGGTTTTAATTTAATCTTTGTGCTCCTTGACTTTCATTACAAGAGCTTGCAGATCATTTGCATTTTCAGCTGTCAGAGTAGTGTCATCAGCTCAGTGCAGGTTATTAATGTTTCTTTCTTCGGATTTAAATCCATGGTCATTATCTTCCAATCTAGCTTCCCTCAATACATTCGACTAAATAAGGGGAGAGTATACAGACTTGTCTCACTCTCTCGCCAACCTGGAACAGGTCTGTTTCACTATGTTCCATCCAGACTGTGGCTTCCTGACCTGTGTATAGATGTTGCATGAGGACAATGAGATGCTTTAGGACTTCCAGTTTCCTATGAGCATTCCTCAGCTTGATATGATCAACACAATCAAAGACCTTTCTATAATCCATGAAGCTCATACTGACTTCTTTTTGGTATTCTATGGCTTTCTCAGTTATCCAGCATGCATTCAACAATAATGTCTCTTGTTCCTCAGCCCTTTTTAAAGCCAGCTTGAACATCTGGTACTTCTCTTTACATGTAGACCTCTAATCTGTATTATCCTTGCATGTGAAATTAACGATACTGTACAATAGTTGGCACACTGTTAAGTCTCCTTTTTTTGGTACTGAAATGTAAACCAATCTCTTCCTATCCATTGGCCACAGTGTCATTCTCCAGATTGTTGGCACAGTTTGATTAGAATCTTAATAGATTCTTCTTCTTTGCTTGCTATATTCCTATAGATATTCCATCAGTTCCTTCCAACATGGTAGTGACTGGAGTGCCAATTTAACATCATTTAGAACTAGATGTTCTTGTAAATAGGGAATATCTTCTAAGGGATCTTGGATGTTAACATTTCTATTATACCATGTTCAGTACATTTTTCCCATTTTTCTTTGATCTTCTTTGAATTGGTTAATATCAGTCCATTGGTGTCCTTTAGCATACCAATTTGAAGGTTTCTCCTTCTGAGTTCAGAGAACTTTTGGAAGACTTTCCTTGTTTTTCCATTTTCTACATGTTTTCTGACATCATTGTAATACTGCTTCTTGTCTCTTCTAACAGCTCAACTAACAAATTCTTTGTTAAGTTCATTCCTGAGATCTTTCTTAGATTTGCCTTCTTTTCTTTTCTTGGCAATCCCCCCCCCCCCGGTTCTGATATTTACTTTCTTCTGTTTCTTTATCTTTTCATATTCATCCTTAACAACTTCTTTAGGTTCATTCCATAAACCCTTTGTTGCCTATTTGTGAGGTTCAGGACTTCAAAGAGATTACTGATGTTCTCCTTAAAAATGGTGGATATGTGTTCAAAATCGTATGGTGGAAACTGATTGACTTTCTTCTTCTACTTCAGCTTGATTTGGAACTTGCATATGAGCAGTTTGTGATCTGTTCCACAGTTGGCCCCTGGTCAACTCTTTGCTGTTATAAATGATAGTCTGCCTATTTGTACAAGTAATATAGTCAATTTGGTTTCTCCATGTATGCAGGCTTCATTTTGATTGTTTTAAAACTGTTAGCAATGAAGAAATCATTGAACTGACAGAAATTGATAATAATTCTCCTGCTTCATTTCAGTTTCCTAAGCCACACAGTTCAATTATGTTTTCCTCCTTTCTATTTCCAACTTCTGCAATCCAGCCTCCAGCTACAAACAGCATGTCTTGCTTGCATGTCCTATTGATTTCAGACTGAACTTGATAAAACTCATCAACCTCCTCTTTTTCTGCATCAGTAGTTGGAGCATAAACTTAAGATAATGATCATATTAAAGGGTTGCTCTATGAAGCTTAATTGATATTATTCAATCAATGATTGGGTTGTACCCAAGTATTATCTTTGCTATATCTTTTCTGATTAGGTTCCTTCTGTGTTTTTCACATCCTGAGCAGTAAACATATGATCTTCTGACTTAAACTTAAAGTGCTGAATTCTGGTCCACTTCAATTCACTGATGCCTGTTGGTGTGTAGTCAACTCATTTCATCTTTTACTGTCTTGAGCTCTCCATGTTCATGCTTCTTATGTTCCATGTTCCTACTGTAATTCTGTTTTTGCACCTTCAATTTTCTTTTCCTGTATGGCAACATCAGTAATTAGATGTCCCAATGGTTTTAATCTAGCCATGTCATAAATACCATTAGCACCCTGAAAGATCCTCAGCAATTCCTCAGTAGCTTGTTGAGTGCCATCCGACCTGAGGGCCCATCATCCAGTGCTATATTGTCAATCATTTTATATTTTCTATCCATGTGGCTTTCTTGGTAAAAATGTATGAGTGGTTTACCGTTGCCTTCTCCTGCACAGAATAAATCAATGCCTTGGCCATTGTCACTAAGTGACCCTCTGCCTCCAGCATCTTCTGTATCGCTGCTGCCTGATGCAGGTGCCTGCTGGCTTTAGTGGGCAGCTGGGATGACCTTCACGCCTTGGGAGACCCTGCTGGGAATACATACTCTGGGCATGCAGTCCCGACGTTCTTTGCTCATCCCTTCCAGGAATGCTCATCACACCATCATCACAATGACGCAGCACAGCAGGACTTGGGGGAGAGATAGATGGATAGATAATATTTGGTCTACTGATCTTTACAAGGGAGAACTAAGCCATAAAGATCAGTAGAAAGCAAGAAAATATACATATTTTATTAAAGCAAATCTGTAAAAATCCACAGAAGTACAAATGTTAATTCTGAGATAATAAAGAAGCAAACCAAAACTAGCACAGAATCTGTGTACTGAATTTAAGCCATGTCTTTTGTTTGCTACTGAAAGATATTTAAGTCTGCTAAGGGGAACAAATGGAGGATCAAGTGAAGTGTAGCTTTTAAATCAATGAAAGCTGCATATAAATTATTTCTTATAACGTTATTTCTCTAGCAGTTAAGAGAGGCTATAACTATTGGCAATGTGGGCTGGCCTTGCCCAAATCTAGCTTGCTTTACAATGAAAATCCCCTTGACCTTTCACCCTTTACTTGATAAATGCATGAAATAAACTTTACTGATTGTGTTGAACAAATTTAACATTAACCTTGCTCCTTTTTTGTATGACAGAACTAGAGTGGTTCTTTTAGCACAGATCACAGGTGGAAGTATGTTATGCACTATTGTTTCCTTGAATAGCAGCTAAACAAATACCCTAGAGATTTTCATCAAGCCGCTTGATTTGGACTTTCAAAAGGAAATTTAAATGGATTATGAACTGCCTGCTTTATTCCTTCTTTAAAGGAAACATGGTTACCGTTTTGTACTTAATTGCAATCTCCATTTATTTTAGGTATGTCCTAATAACTGTTATCTGCCCATTGAAAACACATCTACTTTCGCATTTTGAAATGAGTCTGTATTTCCTTGATTAAGTTTGTAAAGAAATATCTTAAGATCTTCAACTTCCCCTTGCGTATAGCGGGAACTCTGAGTGTTTAAACTGGACTATCACTGTTTTTGACTGCTGGGAAGTTCGAGTCAAAGAGGAAGGCATTTGTTCTGGACGGCGGACTCTGTTTTACTGAGAGTTGGTTCATTCTGGAAACAAGGAGGAGGAAAGTGCTTGGAAGTGCCCGGGAGCAGGACACACTCCCGCTGGGAGCAGCTCTGAAGTTGCTGCTCCAGCCACTGCCAGGTTCTGTATTTGTGCCCCCAAGCACGCCTTCTGAAGTGAATCTGAAGCAGTGCACAGCCCCATCTTTTACAGGAGCCTGCTCTAAAGCAGGGAGGTCTTCTGTCCAATAATATAAATGATATAAATTAATCATTTTCATCTTTAATGATTTGGGCCACAAGTTCTGTTCTGGTCAGCAAAACAGCACCACAGAAGGGTCATAAATCTCACCATGGAATTCCCAGTTCAGTCACAAAGTTTATACTAATAAGAACAGGCATGATCGCTTTTGTGTCTGTATATTCACAATTACGTATATTCACAATTATCTCATACGGTAATTGCATCAGTGGCATTTTGGAGTTATCAACTCTTTTAGCTCTTTAGCAATTTACTATCTGATCAGATAGCAAGAATGCCACCTGCTGATCCATTTAGCCACAAGAGAAATAAAGCTTTACCAGAAAAGCCAGATGCAGTCACAGGACTTCCAATCCCACCACAAAATGCCACTTGCAGGTTTTGGTAAATTAATAAGTTTCCAATGAACTTCCTCTTTAAATGATCAATGACTTAAATATAAAACATAAAAATAACCTTTCTTTCAACCCCCATAAGTCAGGTGTTATTGCAGTTCTCCAATAATATTCCATGGCAGATTCTTTTTCATCCTTTTATTTTGAAAATAAACCAAAGTCAAATAAAAATATAAAATGAAATGAAATGCTCTGCTGGGCCTGGTTCCTGGAGAGGAAAAGGAGGCTCCCATCTTTGTCCCCTACGGTTGGGGAATCGGGTTCTTTCCCTCAGCTTAGACAAGCTCTGGCTGTTCGCTCAGGAGCAGAGTATCTCCAGCAGCGACGGCTTAACCGAGCCTGACGCCCCCGGGTGCCCTCCCTCCCTCCTTACTTACTTACTTGGGGAAGCACCAGCATTACTCACTGGCCAGAGCAAAATGGGGCAGGAGGGTGAGACGTTTTATTTGGTTTATGGCTCTGTTGGGCAGAATTCAGGAGTCTGGAAGCGCCGTTTCCAACTAACACATTTCATTAAAAGGCATGTGCTTTTTTGGGAGTCTTTCTCTCCTGTCCCCGCAGCCAGAGTATTTCCCAGATTTTGTACAGTCAATCTTCGCTGTGGTCCTGAATGGCCTACAGCTCATTTTGAGGAGCTCGGGAGGGAGGAAAAAAGCCTGCCAAGTGAAAATCAGCATGTGCAATCAGAGGATGTGACCTATAAAAGCCATTGCCACCAAAGTCATGATGATTTAACAAAAGAATCTACCAACTGAGCTCAAATTAGGCTGGTTCAGATTTAGTGGCTGGGCATATTGTGCAAATCCAGCCTATTCGGTTGAGTTTATGGTTGAATGAATTGTGCAAAACCAGAAAATGGGTTAATTCCGGAGGCAAGTTAAGTGTGTGGTTTAAATGCCAGAAAATTCATTGGCCACTGCTGAGCCGCTGCTGCACGTCCTCTTTGTACCAGCTGGTGCCCATTCAACTCAAGCATCCCGTGCAAACATCAGAGGGTGTGACTAAGGTGGGTGTGCAAAACCAAGGAGGCCAGGCTGTGGGCATTCCTCAGATTTGCACAGGGGGCAAAGTAAGGACAGCAGGCTTCTCCTACCTCCACGTGCCCAAAGGTCTGCACTAATGGGATTATTTCCAGCTTATTGAGTCCAGCCAGCTCTTGGATCTTAACGATGTCTTCTTCGCTGTCAGGAGACAAAAGCAGCAGTCAGCACTGGTCCAGCCCCTGCACCAGCCCCTGGATGCCAGCAGGGGTGAGAGGGGAGGAAGGGGGATGCGCCAAAGGGATGGAGCCAGGCCTGCGGCCTCCAGCAGCAGACCCTGCGGGGAGGGGGGCAGGTCAGACCCCCCATCCTCCTGCTCCTGCACAAACCCCCGGCAGCTCAGGGTGTTCAGAGCCGGCCGTGAAACGTGGACACAGGAAGGAAACAGGGGTGGAGGGAGGACGGGGGGGCACAACTTTCACTGACAGGAAGGGCAGCAGCAAGAGCCACCCTTGAACCGTGGGTAGGCAAGGATGCCAAGAGGGCCTGCCTCAGGTGAGTCAGCCTTTTAGAGGAGGGAATGGGAGCCCCGAGCCCCTGCAAAGTTAACACCCATTTTGCTCTTTGAAAATCCTCCCAAAACATCCCAGTTCAAAATACACTGAAAGGGTATGGTTGGCTGCATGTGGGACCTCCCACGCCCTTGCAATAAAGAAACAAACAGATCCCCTCCCACCTGAAGCAGCATAAGGAATGGACTTTTGGCTTCCAGCTACTCATTAACCCAACCCATGGCTGCACGGCCTCATTGTGAAACGCAACGCCCAAACCCACCTTCACGAGATGACCTGGTGAAAGGACATGGCAGACGAAGTCTGGGTCCCCACCCCAGGTTGAGCTGCCAAGTGCCAAACCCATTTCAGCCACACTGCGTGAACCCACTTCTGGTCCCGAGGATCCCCACTTCCACGAGGGCCAGATCCACACCTTGGCTTAGCTACTCCCTCCCCTGCCAGACATTGAAAAAGCCCTCTAGGCTGCCTTACCTGTAAGCATAGGGGGATCTGAGGATCTCCAGCTCTCCCTTGAAGGGAAACATGTCTTCGTACTCAATCAGGACCCCGTTGGCCCCCATCTTGGAGAAAAGCGGGAAGATCTGTGGAGAAGGAGGCGGGCAGGGGAAGAGTCCAGCCACAGGGCTGTTAGAGCAGCTGAGCGGTGAGCTGGTACAGCAGAACCCAGGGGGGAAGGGAGGCTGTCTTCCTTCACCCACAACCAGCAGCCCAGTGAGCCATCCACAAGTAGTCCCTGACCACGTAGAACAGACCCGCTTGCCCAACAGGCAACCTCTGTGCTTGCGGCTATCAGCCTGCCAGGCCAAGCCAGCTGCAGAAAGGGATCCCAGAAACAGTTTTCAGGCCATTCAGCAGATGCAGCTACTGTGGCTGAACAGTTGCATTCCACACACTGGTGGCCCCATTGTGAAAAGGGAGAATTTGTTCCTGGATGCCAAATTTATTTAGGTATTTAACAAATGTATACTGAAACTTCATATAATGATGTTTCTAGTCCTTGGGGCTGCACAGATCATCTCGGGAAGGTCTGCAACTCCAAAGAAAGTTGGGCAGGACATCACAGTGGGATTCTAGCTCTGCATGATTAATTTCTGTTCTGCAAAACCTGTGTACCTGGTTTATTCTGTATTGACCTTTTTTGGATTCTGCAATATTATTACTATTATAGATTATTACTGAGAGGCAGTTTGGTGTAGTGGTCAAAGGCCCTAGACTATAAATTGGGAGACTGTGAATTCTAGTCCTGCCTTGGGTACAAAGCCAGCTGGGGGATTTGGGGCCAGTCCTTCTCCCTCAACCCTAGGAAGAAGGCAATGTCAAAAAGGTTGCCAAGAAAATTGTGGGTACTCATCCAGACAGTCGCAAGGAGTCAAGACTGACTTGAAGGCACACACAAACGTTTTACTATTAGTTTTATGTAACTTATAATCAACAACACATCTTCCATGGGCCGTTTGCAGAGCAGAAACATGGCTTTGCTTAGAGAGCACTAACACAGTACCGCAAGGAAGACCAGCTAGAACTCAATTATCAGAAGACTAAAACCATGGCATTTGCCTAAAGGCCCAAGAGCCTCTCCTGGAGCATAGATGGCCACAAGACTGGGCAGGTCTCCTGCTTCAAATATCTGGGGGTAGTCCTTCATTCTGCCAGCAGCAGGAAAGCCCACAGGGACTATGTTGCTGAAAACGCACAGAGGAGCACATCTGCCATTCTTACATTCCTTAAGACAGAAGTGGCATTACATGCCTGCAGCACTCAAGTTATTCGAAACCAAGCCAATAGCTCAACTTTTTATGGTGCCCCGCTGGGCCCCTTCTCCAGTTTTGCACCATTAGACCTCGTACAACCCAAATTTCTAAGATCAGCCTTTCAAATCCCAATATGTTTCTCCAATGCCACCCTGAGACTAGAGACAGGCCTCATGAAGGTGGAGGCTAGAGTGTGGGTGACCATATTCAACTGTTGGCTCAGACTATCCCTTTTTCCCTTGGCCTTGCCCCATGAATTATGAGTCCACATGGAAACGGGCAGTGGCAACTAAAATCTCATCCATGGGCTTCTCTCCAGGCCTTCTACTCGGCTTGGGATACGACCAGGCCAAAGCACTCATTAAACAGCAATGTAGCAGACACAGAGCGCCAACTGGATCTAGCCAGGGCCCCAACCTTTATTGCCAGTGAATCCAACAGGTACTCTGCCTCCCCAATGGCGTATTTAATAAAACTCAAAGTACCTAAACACCAGATGGCCTTTATCCTGGCACCATGCCATGCCCTCCCCTCAGCTGTCCTCGAAGGCCAATACAGGAAGATCCCTTACCCGGAGAGACAATGCCCTGTGACTCTGGGCACATGGAAACCACAGAGCATGTGCTTCTCCCGGGCCTGTATTGCAGTGACGTTCGTACTAGCCTCATCTCACCATCCCTGCATAAATCCCCAGGGCACAGGACAATTCTACACCTCCCTGCTGCTTTCAGACACCAACCCTGCTACAACATATAAGGTTACCAAGTTCTGTGCAGCAGCGATTAAAATTTGTTGGATGATGACCTGTGCCATAAGCTAGTCTTAATGAGCATCTAGTTCACCATATTAGAGTGCTCCGCAGTTTGATAGAGATAGTCTCCCACATACTGACCATTATATTCCACCACCACCCCCCATCTAATGCTCCTACCCTCATTTTAGAGTCTTTTAGACTTTGGTTTTTTAAATATACTTTCTATTTTAATATATCTTCTAGCTTTTCATGATTCTTTTTTTTAGGCTCTGCTGCTTTTGAATTGAATGTAGCCCACCCTCCTTATGCTGGTCTATGACCGTAATAAAGATTGATTTGACAGTGTTATGGTGGTTCTCCTCCTTTCTCCAAGGTCAGTTCCAGTTGGAGTGTGTTGAGGGGGAGAGGTCTAGCTCTTAGACCCCCACTCTTCAGG